CTAATAAAGAATTAGCTTTCAACTTGCTCAGTGTGACTTACTGCTGGCTCGCTCCTGTCAAGGCGAGTTTTGGGTGGTCCTTTGCATGACAGGAAAGTAGTGAATTGTGTGAAGGTAAGCAATCTGTTCTGCCCCCATTTTCCTCTGTGCCCCTTCCTGTCACTGACCCACAGCCCTCAAAATGTTCCCCACCATGGAAAGCAAGACATAGGTCGAATCTTCACACATGGAAAAACACGTTTTGAAAAATACATTGAATTTGGCCTAGCTCACTGTTGCCATCTGGTGTCACATTTGTATATTGCACTTTACAACATGTTTTATTTGCAGCTGTATCGCTGAGTCCTTGGGCTCAAAAGGCTCCCCCACCCTATTTTAAAGGTCTGGATTTGCATGTGTGAATGTGTCTGTGATCTTACCCAGGGTCCTTTGCACCTCACCTCTCTTCACCTTTCTCATTCTGCCAACATATTTTTCTTCTGGCATCAGAAAAGATGGAGAATCCCAAAGAAGCTATGAGACCAAATGTCAGACTCCGATAAAATGAAATGAGAAAATCTGAGCGTAAGTAAAAGATGGGAGGAAGGGAGCGCTTGCTAAGAATTCTGTGGAGAAAATCTCTAGATAATCTCTCTAAAAGCAGCCCAGAGGAACAGCAAGTGACATTGAAACTTATCTGTGCCAGTCCTGTTCACACAAATCACTGCCTGATTGCATATGCAGCCCCTACAATGCTGAGCGAAGCACTAGAAGAAGAAAATATGTGAATTCTCACTGAGAATTCATTGGGGGGGGGTGCCTGAATTCATTGCCTTTCAAGGTGCCTTTCTACAAGGCAGCAATTTGATGGTGAGGATCTGTAAAAGAGAGAGACTGTTCCAAAAGTCTGTGAGAATTCTGATGTAGATTCCAACATACTGAGTTCAGCTAGAAGTTCAGCAATGCAGGAAGCTGCCATATATTGACCCAGACTATTGCTCCATCTAGCTCAGTACTGTGTCTATTCTGAGTGGCAGAGACATGACATGTTTTCAGCCAGAGAGTCTTCCCCAGCCCTAGCCAGAAATATTAGTGTTTGAATGTGGAATGTTCTGCATGCAAGCAGGGGCGTCGGAAGGGGGTTGGGGGGGGGCAGACTGCCCCGGGTGCCCTCACTGAGGGGGGTGCCATTCGGCACGCCACCCGCCCGTGACTCCCAAGTCTACCCCAAGCTGTCGGGATATAATAATAATAATAATAATAATAATAATTTATTTATTTATTTATTAATTATTTATACCCCACCCATCTGGCTGGGCTTCCCCAGCCACTCTGGACAGCTTCCAACAAAATATTAAAATATAGTAATGCATCAAACATTAAAAAGCTTCCCTAAACAGGGCTGCCTTCAGATGTCTTCTAAAAGTCTGGTAGTTGTTGTTCTCTTTGACATCTGATGGGAGGGCGTTCCACAGTCATCAGGCAGGTGGAGAGATTCTTGGGTGATGCCATCCCACTCATTGCTCTCCCTTAAGGATGGGAGGGAACAGCAATGCACAAATGATACGAATACGGGCTCTAATTGCTTTAGTGCGATAGGCATTCTTTATTGGAAATTCAGTGACGATACATATTCACTACTGATGAGAAAAAGATTTGCAGGACCCTTTCTGATTTTCATGAGGACCACCCAGCAATTTGATATGCTCTCCCATTTGAAAATTAAGCAGTATTTTTAAGACAAGGCGGCGTCAAAATAACTTTGGGGGCCGATCACCAGGGAATTCTTCTGCACTGTCCCCATTGAAGTGAGCAGGATCTGTGCATTGGTGAGCTGGTCTCTGCAGTGGCTGAGCCTGTTTGAAACAGCAAGCAAAGTACAGGATGGCAGGATTGTCTTCCTCTGACAGCTTTGATGTTAAGCACAAAGTTCCGTTTCATCATATAAAGGATTAATGTAATAGAGCTCGCTATTTTTTGCTCGCCATCTCCTTCGGTGCCTCCTCCTCCTCCTCCACGGAGCACGCACCAGCTAAAGCCTAGAAGAGAGAGAGAGACCAGAGTGTTTAATGCGGCTGGTGCAAAATATAACTCTGGAGCTTAAATCCTTTGAAGAGAAAGTCGATCTTATGGGTTGAGATGAATCCATATTGTCAACGCAGCACTTACGTTTCACAAAGCAATGCTCAAGGCTGTTCGTTTGCTGTGCACATGATAACCCACTTCTGCAC